AGCAAATTGAGCGCAGATTGCGCGCAGATTGGTCTGATGAACAATTGATAAACAAGAAAGATAAAATATGATTCAAAAGTTATGACAGATGATGAAATCGTGGTTCATCATTCCAGCAGTTTTTTTTGTAATCAAAATTCTTTTCAGAATCATCGCCTGGGTGCACCCAGATATCATATTTTATCTTTCTTGTTTATCAATTGTTAAACAAGGATAAAACGATATTTGGATGCACCCGGGCGATGATTCTGAATGCAGCCCTGCTCGTATATATGCGTGCGAGTGTTGTAGCCAAAAAAAATAACAACTTCGTGGTTCGGCAATTTCACGAGATTTAAAGACGTAACCCGCCCTTCCCTCTTTATCTGTGTAAATTATAATTTGAAAAATTTATAAATATATGTTTTATCTTTTCGAAATTTCTCTTTGTACCTTTTCGAATATGTCCATATTATTGTTATCGCAACATTACATTCCATTTGGTTGTTATCTTTAATGCTTTAATTAATATAATGCAAATATTTACAACACGAATAATGATATATTACAATACTATAATAAAATAGAAAATGCTTTTTTACTATCTTTTATATTCTGTTACACTTTTTTTATATTCCGTTGCACAGTGATAAGAAAAGTGTGGAAGGTCTTTTTAAATAAATATTTTTGTAAACTTATCCAAGAATTATTACAGTAGAGTATGATTTCAGTTTACCAAAGTTGAATAAATAAATTTTTCTCTTTAATTAAATTAAAAATTAACAAAGCAAACTAAACAAGTTACCGTTAAAAATAAATTATGATATATGATATTAATATATATGTTTATATGTATATGTACATATGTACACACACGCGCGCGCATGTGTAAATACCCAGATAGCCAAACCTGCGCGAACAGATTTCGAGCAGAGCTTGCTATCAACTTTTGATGGCAAATAGATAACAAATTTGATGCAGGATCTGTTATATCAAATCTTGCTGTCAAATTGCCGCCAAATATGCGGCAGAGCTTGTTGTCGGAAAATTGCTGCAGATTTGTAGCAAAAACCGCGCAGAGCTTGTAGCGATTTGACGGTAGATTGGGGGCAGAAACCGCGCAGACCTTGCTGCGCTGCAGGCTTTGTGTGGTTTTTGCTGCAAATTTGGCACCAATTGCCCGACAGCAAGATCTGTCGCCAAAACCGTAGCCTAATGTAGACACAGATGGCTATGGTTTTGCTGTGGATTTTTTATCAAATTTTCTGCCAATCTGCGCGCAATCTGCGCTCAATTTGCTTACTGGGTAATAAATGACACTTATGTAAAGTTATGTGAAAAGATATTATTTTCTAAAATAATCTATACAACAGTTGTAATAGATAACAGAGGACATTTGACAATGCTAAACTTCTATGTGCGCGGATGAAGAAAATTAAATTCAAGAGAAAAATCTTTTATTATTTTCAATTTTCGCAATAATTATTGTGCAATTCAAATTATTAACGAATAAATTTGTTGGAAAGTATAGGACGAACTATATGGATAGATATATTTATTAACATCGGCTTGGATCTGATCATTAATAATCTATATTAATGATCTATGAAAAGCGGATGCATTTATCTTTTTATTATTCTTAATATTTTGATGTTTAATATTTAACACATTTGTATGTAATTTAAATATTTGTATAATTAATAGGTGCGAGAAGGAAGTGCGCGCACGGCGAGAAACGACAAACAGCATAAGCATAAGTTTCACGCCGGCCGTCTGCTCTCTCTTTTCCGAGCATGCATTTGCTGCCTCTTTCTTCCCCGAACGATAGCTATAGTGTACGCGACCGACATATATTATAGCTCGGTCGAAGCGCGTACACGGCAAGCAGCCGTATACGCGTATCCCCTCCTGCGCGCCGCTGTCGAGCCGCCGCTTACGGACTCGGTCGCTCGCTGTGTGCGTGGCCTACGTCATGCTGTAAGCGGAGTAAAACTGTGCACACTGGTGCAGCGGTGTGCGAGTCTGTCCGACCACCCGCTGGGTCTGCCTTTTATTGTGTCTTAATTAAGATTTTTTCGCGAGAAAACCCCCCCGCGAATGCGCCACCGAACGGCGTTGCGCGGAGTCTCTCGCGGTTGTGCGGCGGCTCGGCGAGCGGCGG